CAAGCATGGTGCAGGTTTCCATTTACAACAGTGTCTCCCCTTCAGCACCAGGAAAAGACTCCACCCCTGGAGAGATGCAGCTGAGATGTCTGCATAAATAAACCTTACTAAAAAGTGCCTGTTTCTTCAATGGTTTGCACACATACTTGTATTTTTACCAGCTAACACCTCTGGAAGCCTCTCCTCCTTTGTCTGTACACAGTCCACCATTCAACGTTCTTTGTTAAAATGGAATATAAGCGCTGAACCCTAACTACTTCTTAGGGCTTTCTCTTTTCTGTGCCCTGGTCCTGCACATGAAATTACAAACATCTACTAAATGTAAATGCCTTTTCCTTCTGCTTATCTGTCCTTGTCAGTGTAATTCACAGGCCCCCAATGCTGAACACTAGAAGACAGGGAAATGCTTTCTTCCTCCTCACCCATACTTTTTATACAAAACAGGAGACAAACTTATAGAATAGAAGCTTATCTTTTACAGTAAATGATGCACTGCAGGTATACTTTACACAGAACAGCCCTCCTACCCCAGGCCCGGGCACCTCCAATGAGCAGGAGATATGAGGACAACTTTTTAAAAAGGCTTTGGTTAGACATCAACAACTGGCAAAATACCGACTGGCACATGTCCACACCTCAAGGGCGTTACGGACTTGAGCTGCTCAGGACAGCCCACCTCATACAGCAGTAGCACTCCTGTCCATGGCTTCAGCAAGATGCACGCAATGAGCACTGGCACTAGACCCTTCAGCCCCATCCAAGGGCCAGCAGGGCCTCTCGGGTAGCAGAGGCACCCACCCGCCATGGGGGTACACAGTGCTGCCCACGGACAACCAGGGACAGCTTCAGAATGAGCTGAGAGAAGCCCACTTTCCCAGCTTGGACACTTCCCCTGCGCTCTCCGCCCACGTAAGCAGCTGTGCTCCTGGTGCGGAAACCCACACAGGTCTCGAGAGGGGTCTCCACACAGGCGGTGCCTCGCACCTGCTGGTTTCAAATGGAGAGCTTGCCATCAAATTCACACACTCCTTCCCTTGCTTTCTGCATTAACATGGCCTCACATTTGTCCCTATTTTCAGGTGGACATTCCCCTCGTGGCCCTACTGCATGGCAGACTGCTAGCCACTGGGCTTCTCAGCTTTCTTAGGGCTTGTTTCAGAGCCTTCATCCCTGGATGGGCTTGTGAAGCCAGGGCCCTCTCTCTAGAGGAAGCTGTTCATGTGGTCACTACACCTCCCTGACAACCACAGAGGAACAAGCAGGGGCCTTTGTCCCTTCTTCTATTTTTGGAGACTGGGTCTTGTTAGTTCAGGCTGGTGTTGAACTAACAGAAATCCCCTTGCCTCAGCCTCCTGAGTGCTGGGATCACAGGCACACACCACCTCGCCCAGCTCTGTTCCTAATCTTGCTGAGAAAAAATCACTCAGAAGCAACCAAGCTGCCCCGAGCTCTTTCTCCGAGGCACGCACTTGAGATGCCCAGGATGGAAGGTGTGCTGCCAGCTTTCGCGCCCCTCCTCCCTGTGCCTTCTAGCCTCGGCTGCGAGGTCTGGTGGCCAACCCTGCATGACCACGCTGGTAAGGTTAACTAACACCTGCTTCTTTTTTAAGTTTGCTAATAATTGCATTTTCTCAAATGTCCTACTTGTGGAAATGGTGACCAATTACATTATCTGAGTTCATGAAGAACAGGGTCAAGATAATCCAGTTTTAAATGGAATTCTTCTTTCATGAGATTAATTCATTAAGCAGTCAAGAGAGCAATAAATCACCAGCAGCTTACTGATACAAGCAGAAATAAGCTGCATTGGTGACACTTTTGAATTCGTCATTTCTGAGTAAAGCAAGATAGTCATTTTTGAAAAATGTTTGAGTTAAAAACTGAACACATACACTATTAGTCTATAAAAATCATTACAAGCGAATTAAAATATCTCAGAGATATTCCCTCTTTTGGCTCACAGAGTTCAAATTTCTGTTTTTGGTGGCAAAATATGTCCCTGGAGCACAGGGCGAACGTTCTGAATAGGAGGTGGTTCACTTCCCACCAATGCCGCCAGTATCTGCTTCAGTTTTGGAAAAACAAATGTTTCCTTATGTAGCTCTAACATTAATCTGGAAAGTAAGAACAAACAGCTGCCTTAAAAACCAATGAGCGTGGGCCAACATGTACCAGAAATTGAGCATCAGCTCTCCCCACTCTAGAGAGGACACACGGCTTCCTGGAGTGTGCCCAGGCCTACTCCCTCTTGCTCCCTCTTCTGCTGCTTCTGGCCAGCAACAGGAGCCACAAGGATGACCCTCGCCTGCAGAGAGCACCCACCCCGTGCCCAGGCGTGTCTTTCCCCAGGCTTGTAACTTGAAGAGCAATGACACCTCTTGGCTGATCCCAAGTTTGCAGGGACCCCCTACTGGAGTCACCATCTCCTTCCTTCTGGAGAGGCCCTGGGGAATGAGGCATCCTTTTATTTTCCATATGAACCTGTAAGCCTGCTATAACATGGGCTACAAGGGCCACCACCCTGTTCTAAAAGCATCCCTACGTGGCCGTTTCCCTGTGCGTGGAGATGGTAGCCTCAGCAGCACACAGGACAGGGGAGCTCCACGTCCGGCAGCCAGTGAGGAGTGAGCGAGAGGCAGCCGCCTGGAGAAACCACGCTGGAACACACAGCCACTCTGGCCAAACAGTGCTATCAGAGGCCCAGGTAGTCATGAAGGTTCTAGGCCTACAGGTCCTTTTTGGTTTAATAAGGCTACCCTTATGGGTGTTCGTTTAAATGTAACCAGAATCTGACTGATACTGATTGATGCACATACGCTATGCTCGGGACTGAACCCAGAGCCTCGCACATATGTGGCATGCCCAGTGCTGTGCGGTTCACCCTCCTCATGCGGGAAAGGCGAAGGCCTGTTGCCTTCTGTGAAAGCAAGTGTGTGAACTTAGTGGGATGCAGCTGATTTGGATGTACCGGAGGGAGGAGGGGAAGGTAGCACTGGAAGCAGAGAGCAATCAAAGCCAGACCCTTGGGTTCATAGCCTTGAGTCAGTTTTGAAACCACAGGTTCCTTCAGAGAACGCACATACAGAACCTGCACTCCGGAAGGGGCCACAGGTCTACTGAAGCCTTTTATGCCGCCAGCCTTAAAGAGAAAGCCCAGGCATGACAGTGCCCTACAGCATGGGTTGGCCAGCTCGGAGCCACTGCCATGATTCCTGGGTGTGGAGCAGGATAGCGGCCAGGTACAGCAGGGCAAGAGGGAATGTAGCTGTGCTCCGCTCAAGCTCTGCGCAGGGCACACAGGCTGCAATTGCTTACATCGTCGTGGGTTAGCAAATGCTCCTCTTGATGCTTTTCTGTCACTGGAAAATGTGAGAAACACTCTTTGTTTGCAAGCCACACAAAAGCTGGCAGAGGTTTGAGTGTGGCCCTGAAGACTCCAGACAGAAGTCATAGTGCCTGGCCGTGTGCCATCAGTACAGATGCAGACGCCCCTTGTGTGGCAGAGGCTGCAGACCCTGATGTGCCACTGGGTGACTTATGAAGTCTATGCCATCTCTGAACTTCTGCCCAACAAAGAGAACCACATGGCTGGGCTGGAGTGTGGTGGTAGAGCATATGCCTAGCGTGCATGAGGCCTTGGGTTCAAGTCATAGTACTGTGCAAAACCAAAGGAGAACCTGACCCATAAGCAGTGCTGCCGTGAGCAGGCAGACAAGGGAAACATGCCTGTCAACAGGTCACATGTCCCAGGTGGGGACAAAGCGGATAGAAGGATGGCAGCATGTGGGTCAAGTATGTGTCAGGGAAGCTCCAAAACACAGGCGTCTCCCATCAAAGAGAAACTGCAAAACCATTTCATGCCCGATTTTGCTGCATTGCCAGGACCTAGCCCAAGGTGAGCACCTGACCACGACTGCAGCACAGCTGTCAGAACTGCGTCTCGGGAGCAAAGCAGCACCCTCAACAAACTAACACCAGTTAGTTTTGGCTTGTTTTACTAATAGTGAGCTGGGCTTGAAATGTTGGGGCCCAACCAACAGCACAGGCAAGGAGGAAAAAGGGGTCTGGGGTGTGGGGCCCTAAGCCAAACTGGAGCTTGTGAGCACACGAGGAAGAGGGAGCAGCTGCCTGTGCCAAGATGGAGGAAGGTGAGGGTCAGCCCTGCTGCCTGAGGCACGGCGGGGGCTTGAGAGAGGCTGACAAAATGGCTGGGGCTGAGAAAGGCAGAGCAGAGAGTTCAGGACAGCTCCAGCAGGGCCCGGGTGTCGTAGTAAGGGCCTGCTGGGCGTGCACAAGGCCCAGGCTCAAGCTCTAGCCATGCACACAAGCGCGCGCGCACGCGCACACACACACACACACACACACACACACACACACACTACGGTGAGAGACATCCCAAGGCCCAAAGTGGGCGGGGCCAGGAGGGCTTAGTGGGAGGGAAACGAGGAACAGAATTCTTTACAAGCAGCTGGCCAGCAGGTGTCGGGGGAAGGGGTAGGGGAGTCCTGGGCGCTGAGGGCCATGCAGGTGCTGAGTGCCCTGCGCCTCCGGCTGCACAGGGAGCAAATGCAACCGAGCAGACTCCGCCCCGGGCGCCATCAGGCAAATGCTGCCCTCTCTGAAACACACTTCCCGGATTGTTCCAATGGGGAGCACAAAATAAGGAGCCTGGCTTCTGTACTGCCCTAGCAAGCTGCAGGTGGCTCTTAATATGACACCCAGACAGAGGAAGAGAAAGGCAACTGGCTTTAAAACAAACTCACTGCAAAACAATATGGACTGTCACCTGTTGAGAGAGGACGCTACTGAGAGTGGTCAACACGGTGGCACAGCTGTGGATGGCACACAGAACCAGACACCTGAGACCTCCAGGAAAGAAAGGATCGGCAAGATCTCCCTGGGGTCCAGCAGACCCTGGCACCTATCCCCAAACCTGAGGGCGAGGCAGGGCCTTCTCCAGGGAAGGACCCCGCCCCGGCACTGCCCGCCTGCACACTCACCTTTCCCATTAACGGCCAAGCCCGTGGCCATGGCTGCAGTCACCGGGCCTGACGCCGGGGGTGCCAGTGGGTGTATTCGGGGCCTGCTCCCCATCCTGGCTCGCTCCGCACCAGGGCCCAACAAAGCTCCCACAGGCTTCTCTGCTGCCACTTCTGGTGCCACCGTGTCCTCGGGACCCTGCTCGATGGGGTCCAGTTTCTCAGGGCTCTCGTTTGGAAAGCCATCCACTGCAGTCCTGCTCTTAATGGGGCTCTTAGGCACGAGGATCTTGATACCTGATTTGGCAAGGTCCATGTTCTTCCGGCTGGACAGGGAGGGGGCTGTGTTCTTCCTGAACTTCTGGCTGGCAGCCAGCAGTGTGCTGCTCTTGGAGTCCGGGTCCTTGCTGATCACAAGTGTCTTCGGGGAGGCCTTGGAGAAGCTGCTGTTGGTGGACCTGGAAAAATGCTTCCTGGCATTGTTGGGAGAGGTCCTGTTGGTCCGGGTGAGCGCGCCCTCCTTCTGCTTCTCCGAGTGGCGCCGGGTGAAGTCGTGGATGTACTCCTCGCAGTTCACCAGGTGCTGCTCGGGTTCCCATGTGTCGTCCTCACTGTCGTAGCCCTTCCACCGCACCAGGTACTCTGTCTTCCCTTTTTTGTTTTTCCTTTTGTCAACAATCCTTTCAACCTGTGTATACAGAAACAAACCCAAAAAAACAGGTAAACAAGAGCAACAAACCCCAAAGGACCTTATTATTCAAGAGAAGCAAAGTTTAACATGAAAACGTCACAATAATGAAAAGCACCACAGATCACGACAGTGATCTTTTTTCCTCAACCATCTGGAAATAAAATGGTGACAGAAATCCTAGAATTTTGTCAATATCCTTGAAATGACGTCAAGCAAAATGCTCAGAATATGTGGACGGAATACATGTATCAAACCATTACACTGCACTGTTCACATGTACATTGTTTATTTGGTGCAGGCTCTTGCTGCACAGCCTGGACTCCTAGGGATCCTCCTGTCATCACAGGCTCCTCAGTGCTGGGATTATAGGTATGCGCCACCACGCCCAGTTCTGGGGCCCACATGCTGCGCCTGGATGCCAGGGCCGGCATGGCATGTGGTACCAGGAATCAAACTCAGGTCCCTTGCTGGCCCCACCCTGGGCGTGGTGGTGCCTGCCTGTAATCCCAGCGACTGGGAGGCTGAATACAGGAGAATCACTATGAGTCCAATTTGTGTAGTGAGAACCTGTAGATCCTACACTAAATACATTAAAAACAAGGGAGATGGCTCAGTAGAAGAAGTGTTTCCCTGGCAAGCTCAAGGGCCTAAATTCAATCCCCAGTTTGCCAAAACAAAACAAAATAAAAAAATAACTCAGGTCTTTGAGCTTCTCAGGCAGGCGCATATACCACTGAGCTATCTCCCTAGCCCACATGCACATTCTTAGGTGGGTATGGACCGGTTCAAAATAAATTCTAAAAATGACAATAATAACTGGTCACAGGAAATGTAATTGGTAATGTAAACTCAAAACTACATCCTTCCTTTACATGCAAGTAAACTTTTGGTTATCAGCAATGAAACTAGAAAAATGAGCTTCACAACCTCGGCTCCTGCAGCACTGGCCACCCGCAGCCTTGTGCTAGGTTGTTCTTTGGTGACAAGCTGTGGGTGACAGACTAGAAGGACTGAGGACGTGTGTGCTTCGGAACTGCCTGGTGGAGCACTCTTATGACGGGCACTGTGTTACTCTGAAGCACTCAGTTAAAACTAAAGAGATGGTTTATCATGACGAAGTGGCCTAGAATGGCGAGGTCATTTACCTTGCAATCTTGGCTTTAATTTTTACTAACATCTTTAAAGGAAGTTGTTATTAATCTCTGAATGTAATGACTGATACAACCTGTACCAAATCTACAAATTCACACACCTTTGCCTTAGAAGACATTAGTACAGTGACACATTCTACTACTTTAACATTCTATGTATGACTGAGATCTTTTACAACTCACATGAAGAAAAAATACTTGACACACAACAACCACGTGTGTGATTGCAGAAATAAATACGTGAATGTGCTGTGACACCTGATCAGCCTGCTTTCTTCGCGGCAGTGTGTGACTGGCCCAGGAGCAGCAGCCCTCTAAGCAGGGATGCACTGGTCTAAATCCATCAATCATCAAATGCATCAGGATCATTTTTGTCAAAGTTACAGGTTATGAAGGAAGGCATGATAGTGCACCTAATTCTAATACTCCAAAATAATGCAGGCAGATTGAATACAACTGTAGGTTACCTTGTTGAAAAATACAAGACAAATTCTCCAATGTATCTGTTTGAGAAACAGACTTAAACCCCTCACTACAGAACAGCCTAAAATTAAACACACGTTACTGCTTCCATGCAGAAAGGCTTAAGAACAGAAAGGCCTTGATTTATCAGGAGGCAGATTTCACACCTAACGGATCTCCTGAGTCAAAACTTCATGTCAGGGCAGCGTGAACAAGTCCAGTCTAGAATGGAGTGAGGAGAGCCTTTAAAGTGGGTTTTGCCCTGCTCCTTCACTTCTGAATTGCTATGAATAGAGTACAAGCATTTCAATTTAAGTTAAAAGATGTATTTCTGGAAAATTCCATATAAATCAATTTCATGGCAGCAACAGTTTAAAAATTTTAAATGCACAGGATAAAGAGATTCTCTTAGGGGGAAGCTGTGCTCAATGGTTTTTTGTTCCCCCTGAATCAGCTTCCAGTACAGAAGCATGCACGCCATGCCCGGTCACCACCGCTCCTCTCGTCCATTTCCTTAGAGTGAAGACGCACCTGGGAGCACAGAATCAGTGCTCTTCCTCCCCTTTAACTGTGCACCCATGTTTTTCCTCTGAGGCCAACACTCTTGGGAGCCTTAGGTTCCAACCCCTTTCCAGGACCTGCCACTCTGCAAACTGAGGCAGGACAACACCTTAAGCTGCCTCAGCAGCAGGCCCAGCATGCGGTGACAGTGAGGGCAGCCTCTGGGATTAGCCCAGGGCCACGTGGGAAGCCACCCTTCTGCAGGCGAGGGCTGTGCTGCTCTGTACAAGCATGAGTGTGGAAGGCAGTTTTATTTCACTTTACAAAGGGTTCCCAGAGAGGCAATCCCACTGTGAGTGGAGAAGTACCTGTAAGATAAAAAGACACTCGGGCTCCCCAGTGCACACACTCTCAGGTAGCTCCAATGGTAGTTAGCACCTTCTCCATCAGTGCCATTTCCTGTTGAGCTCTAAGTAGCTGGGGGTGGGGTGGGGGTCAGGGGTCAATGCCAAGTCACACACTACAAAGCACAAGTGGCTCCAGTGCCAGGTGTGGAGGGATAATTTAAACACAATGCCCTCAAAGCACTGGAGGAAAACCAGACCCAGGCAGAAACCAGAGAGCACTGGATCTGAGAAACGCAGCCTCACTAGCTCCTGCTTCAAAGTGGAGGTGTACTCCTTCATGCTGGTACAGAGCTTGGGCAGAGAGCGTGGCCTTGCAAGCTTCATGTGTCAGAAGACTGAGTCTGGAGTGGACAGCAACTAGGGCAGACCACATCCACATGGGTTGTACCAGGAGGGTGAGCCCACAAGTCAGGCGTTAGCCCTCAAGTTCTGGGCACACTCCTGAATGACACCAGGCTGCTAAAAATGAATGTGGAAGGCCATGAGTCCCCAAGATGGGCCTCCAGCCTGCTGACTCACTGAGAGGACCTAGACTATCCAGCATGCAAAGGGAAAAGGACTCACAGAGGTCACATGTGGGACTTGCCATCATCCCCAGGGAAACGTAGACAAATGGCCGAGGTCTGACAGAGCGCTGCTACAGTGCACACAGCTCCAGACTCTGCAGGAAACTGTTGATAACACCACATGAGCCACACTGAGGAACATCACAGCCTCCAAGGCCTCCTCCTCCATGCTCAGGAGGACACAAGCACGGGCCCCCAGAGCATTCAGTAAAGCTGTGAAGAACACCGCAGCGGAGAGCTTTGTCTGCAGGTGCAAGCCCACTTCTGGGGCAGGGGCAGGGGCAGGGGCAGGGCCAGGGGAAGCGCCACACCCCACCCACGCGCACCAGCAACAGTGGTAATATCCACGGCAATATCTTGGTCCTGCAAACAGCGCTAAGGATGCAGGGCAGGAAAAACTCAGCACTTGGGGAGAACAGAAAACACTGGCGGCATCTGTGCCATGCCCACCTCCCCATTTCCCCCGTGTCCTGTGAGCCTGGCTCAGTGCAAGGGTGAGGTAGGAAACATAGACCCTTGCCCCTTCTGCACCTCCTAGGGACAGGCGCCCAGCACGGCTCCTCCTCCAGCCCCTACCCGTCAGGGGCTCTACTCTGGAGCAGCAGGCTGAGAACAAACAGCCCAGGGCTCATCATGCAAGGACTGGTCGAGTTGGTGCAGAGTGGAGGAGCCCAGAAGCGGCGGCCACGCCCAGCACACACACAGGGCCCCAAGTTCTACCCGCGGAGAGGCCAGCTGACGCAGAGAACCAGTTCCCTGAGCCAGTGCGGGGAAGTTTAAGCTTAAAGGTACTCTTTAAAATGGGAATAACAACAAGGGCAGCCAAAGGACACCTACCTTACCAGAGAACCAAGTAGCCAGAGAGAGTCCTACCAGGTAGACAGAAAGATGAAGAAATACAGGACTTGTGTAGGAACACTAGTATGTAATGAGAAGGGACAAAGAAAAAGGAACAAAAACTTTTGGGAAAAAAAATGGCTGCAAACATCTCATATATTCAAAGACAACTTGTAGAGCCAGGCAAACTCACAAACAACACGTAGGATGAATGCAAAGTGATCTACAAGACGCAGAATAGTTATAACACTGAATGTAAAGGCAAAGAGAAACAGCAAGAGGAAAAGAGTTCCTTGCTGGGAAAATTCTCCCTTGTGCACCAGCGACTTCTAAGACCAGCAGCTGACGCTGCCACGGTGGCAGTTCTACCCAGTGTGAGAGAAAGGCCACATGCTGTGCAAATCTGCAAGAGGCAGAACTACAGAGATGGTAGCAGTCGGAGGGCTGGAAGGGACGGAAGAGAACATGGGGCAGGGAAGCCACTCTGCAAGACACAGCGAAGGTCAGTGTTCAAACTCACAGAATCTTCAGTATCAAGACAACCTCCCCATAAGCTCTGGATTTTAGGTTAACATACATTTATCAATTGTAAAAAATGTACTGCCTGGATAAACTAAGAGATTTTGTGGCTAGCGGACCTGCACTGTAAGAAATAGCAGAGGAAATTCTTCAGGCTGGAAGCTGTTAAACCACAGGGAAATTTGAATCCACATAGAAAATCAGAACCAGGAAATTCCATAACCGTGAAAGTGTGTACTTTTCCTTTCTTCTGGTAACTAAATAGCAATCATATAAAACAGCACACATACTGCCAGACCTATAGCACAGAAGTGTGACATGGAACAGTCACAAGCATGCATTCCAGTGAAAATCTAGTAACAAAATATATGAAGCCCCAAATGACACAGGTGCAGGGGACAGCGACACCTCAGTGGCAAGTGGAGAAGTCAGTCACAGTGCTGGATAATCAGTGGGATAAGCAGGTCTGGAGACACATTCTTCAAGTGCACACAGGACATTTCCCACATAGCTCACACATGAGGTCACAGACCTCAGTGAACTTATAATGACTAAAATCATATCAAGTATTAACTCCAAGCAAATAGGGCGGAAATGATAACAAATTAGAGAATTTAGCTCCCGCCGGCCTGCCTTATGTATTTGTTTGTATCTTTACTCTTCCAGGTTTGAATCCGTCTCCGTTGTTGCACTTCTGTTCTTTTGAAAGCGCTCACGCGGCGGAGAGGCCTAGCTCCCGGTGACTCCCGCGGGCCCACCTTATGTATTTATTTTTATTTTTACTGTTCCAGGTTTGAAACCGTCCCCGTTGTTGAATTTCTATTCTTTTGAAAGCACTCACGGGGCGGCAAGGCCTAGCTCCCGGTGACTCCCATGGGCCTGCCAGCCCGCCTGATATATTTATTTTTATGTTTACTGTTCCAGGTTTGGGCTGGGGAAATGGCTCGGTAGAATAAGTGCTTGCCTGGCAAGCACAAGGGCCTGAGTTCGAAACCCTGGTTCCACCAAAAACACAAATTAGAGAATTTAAAATACATGGAAATTTAACAAGCTACATTATATTAGTATAGGCTAAAAAGGGCAGGGAATCAGAGGCTGAAGTAGAAAATAACTTCAGATGAAAGGAAAACAAGATCACACAGGTAATGGCACACAGCAAAAGCACTGATGCAGGAATTCACAGTGGTAATAACAACACCACTAATCACCTACTGGTCTTAAGACTCTGGTAGTATAAACATAAACACCCCAAAACCCACCTGAACCCAAAACAGAAGACAGAAATAAAAATTAAGCATCACATTTAAGAATTTGGTATACTGGCACATGCCTGAAATCTCAGCACACTGCCTGAGGCTGAGGCAGGAGGATCCTTGTGAGTTCAAGGATCTTGCACTTCATAGCAAGACCATGTCTTAAAAAAATAAATAAATAAAAAATAAAGTCAAATTTAATGTAACAGGGGGACTAAAATAGCAATGGAAACCAAAGTTCCAGGTTACAAAACCAACATCAGGAAAACTGGTACCCATTATGCAATATCCACAATGAACTACTTGAAAAATAAATCAGAAAAAAAAACAAACTTTCACTACAATAGTTTAAAAAACAAATAAAAATTAGAAAACCAACCTGAGGTAGAAGACCTCTACAATAAAAATAAGGAACACTGAAGAAATAAACTGAAAATGCTACAAGATGGAAATACTATGTCTGTATGCTGAAAGAATGTTGCCAAAATAACCATATTCTCAAAAGGAACTCATTATCAAAAGGGAGTCAGTTCCCATCAAAACTTGTACAACAATCTTCCCCAAACCACAAAAACAATCCTAACATTCATAAGGAAGCAAAAAAGACCCAAAGCAGCACCATAATGCTCAGAGTCTAAGTTATACTACAAAGCCATAGTAACAAAAACATGGTACACAGACGAATGGAACAGAAGCCCCAGAAGCCAGCCCACGGAACTGCAGCGCTCTGACTCTTGACAAGAAAGCCAAACATATACACTGTAGAAAAGACAGCCCCTACAGCAGGTTTTTGAAACTAGCAGTCAATTGGCAGGATTCTCACCCTGACTAACTATATATGCTGATACCTGTGCACTAGGCAACTGCACTGAAGACAGCAATGTGTAGTAGAAGGGCCACTCTTGGAATGCCTGTCATTCTGGTCTGTTAAATACGTACTTCTTGTCATAACATACCAATTACTGCCATACTGTTTTTCAAGCACATGTTTTTTTTACAAAAGGGGGGGGTAATAAATGAAAACAAGAGACAAAGAAAAAAGATGTCATAGGACTGTCCTGCTACAATGGTTAGATTTCTAAATTTCTGTGTAAAAATATGTAATTGTTTATTTCTATTTTTAAAATATTTTTTATTTTTCTTTTCTTCATATTCTGTAGGGACTTAACGTTTAATACATCAATACTTGATGGAAAATACTTGTTCCATGTTATATCTAAGATGTTTGATATTCAGACAGATAGTGAGGTTAAGCTCAACTGCCTATGTTGTAGGGTAATAATAATAAGCTTCTCTTCTGGAGGGTTAACAACTTAAGTTTGCAGACCAAAAATTAGATAAAAAGAAGGGCTTCAAGGATAGCCAACATTTTAACCCTAGCCTTTCAAGGTCAGTGAAGACTCAGGACATAGGAGAACCTGTACTGTAACATCATGTAACTCAGTTGTGGCCCAAATTTTCTGATCAAGGAGATTATGGGGCCACAGAGGAAAGTGATCTATGATGTAGAGTGTGCCTGAGGAGAGTCACATGGAGAGAAAACATTCTCTCAGGCTTTCACAGAGAGCAAACTGGTCAAGCAATGGCTGTGACTCATTCACATGGCTGATACTGACAAAGGATCTACAAACCGCAGTACACGGTTTCAGGGTAAATCCTGAGGGGATTTGACTGCCCTTGTCAGATACAAAAGTTACATTTCTTGTTACATAGCTCTTGCTTTATCTTGGTCTTAACCATCCAGCAGAAAAGTATAAAAATGAAGTATAAAAAGTAAAGCCATGTTAATCTGCTGAGCTATAAAAGGCTCAAGTCAACAATTTCTGACATTGCCAGTTCTACGGATAACCCACTACTATTACGGAATAATAGATTATACTGGAATATTTTGCTGAATTCATGCACCTACAATATTTAAATGACAATAGAATACCCATATCTGACAAAACTAAACAAGAAAAGGGGATACAAACATGAAGGACCACTTTGTATCTGTATATTCAAAATAGAATAGATATACAGCTACTTTCTCTTAATTCAGTGAATAGAAAGATTTGTTCTAATAGTGTTTGTGGACAGGATATCATGTCTGAATCTTCTACAA